GGGAGGGGCAACGGCACATCGGCCGGGTGGGGGACGGGGTTAGCGGCGGCACGGCGGCCGTAGATAAGAAGAAAAAAAAAGACGTTCCTTACTGTGTTGAAGAGCTTCATGACGACCAATCTGGAAAATAAATCCAGGAAAGACAAGTCATGTGACTTCAGTTTTAGTGTGAACACAAGCGTCTGTCAAACAATTACTTTCTTAAGTACAAAACCTAATTTTGACTCTTACCTTGTCTTTCCGTGTTAGGAGTGTGACGCTGGATAACTCCAACCTGGTCTCCGTACGCAGAAACCCCATCTGTTCAAATAGAGTTGATTACAAGATTAAAACAATGACAAGTTTAATTTAGAAATTTAATTTTGTAGAAGATACTCAGCGTGCACTCAATAGTATACTCGGCCCTAGATGCCCCCTAAAGCACGGAATCAAGGTCCGGTGCTAGCGCTTTAGCTCGCTTGCCGTTAAAAAAATACGAGCCCGGGCCGAAGAAGGCCGGGGAAATCGGCACTTTAGCGCGGCATGGAGCAACTGGCCCTAGCCTAAGTGCGCCATTAAGGTGCACTTGAAAACTTTGCACGTAACACTGAATCTGATATGGCCATCTTTGCCATAGGCCGGCCGACCGGGATTACCTGGAAGGGTAGGGAGGGTTGAATTGTTGTGGGTTTTCACTGGTAATATTCATAAAACCTCAACAGTATATTGTACATTTCCATTTCTTGGGAAACTGTGGTGAAAACAGTTTTTCACATCTGAAACTCTAGGCTTTATAACGGACTGTCCAATCACATGCTGCTTGATCAACTCCAGTCTTGTCTTCAGTCTCCGTCTCTCGTCCATAAAGCACGGAAACAAGGCCTGGTGCTAGCGCTTTAGCTCGCTTGCCGTTAAAAAAAAATACGAGGCCGGGCCGAAGAAGGCCGGGGAAATCGGCACTTTAGCGCGGCCTGGAGCAACTGGCCCTAGCCTAAGTGCGCCATTAAGGTGCACTTGAAAACTTTGCACGTAACACTGAATCTGATATGGCCATCTTTGCCATAGGCCGGCCGACCGGGATTACCTGGAAGGGTAGGGAGGGTTGAATTGTTGTGGGTTTTCACTGGTAATATTCATAAAACCTCAACAGTATATTGTACATTTCCATTTCTTGGGAAACTGTGGTGAAAACAGTTTTTCACATCTGAAACTCTAGGCTTTAT